TTTTTTTTTTTTTTTAAAGGCAACAAATTATGAACTTATAAATTTAAGTACTGGCCAGGCACAGTGGCTCAGAGATGTAATCCTAGTGCTTTGGGAGGCCCACACAGGAGGATGGCTTGAGCTCACAAGTTTGAGGTTGCAGTGAGCTATCATGACACCACTATACTCTAGCCTGGGTGTTAAGAGTAAGACTCTGCTGAAAGAGAGAGAGGAAAGAAGAGAAGGAGGGAAGGAGGGAAGAAAATTAGGTACCCAGTTTGAAAAAGAAAAAAACTCAAAGCTATAAATTTTAGAAAGCTAACCAGTACCACAAACATCACAAATCCAGAAAGGCAATACAATTTTTAAATTAATTTGCCTAATTCCACTCTAATATTTTTTCCTTTCTTTTCTTTCTTTCTTTTCTTTTCTTTCTTTTTTTTTTTTTTTTTTTTTTTTGAGACAGAGTCTGTTGCAGTAAGGGTCTCACAGAAAAGCGATGTTACTAAGAAGCAGACTTATTGAAATAATTGTGTTTTAAATAAGGGTGACCATCTGCTTGCTCAGACAAAATGGCAAGCTTTCTTTATTCGCTGTTGGTTTATATAGGCAATCTTGTGCATGTGCACTATACAGCAATGACCTCATTAATCCATTTAAACTTCTTATGACCACCCACTCTGTAAGTAGCTCCTCCCTGGTAATCTGATAATCCACCCAAAATACACCTTTAAACATAATCCTTTCAACATAACCCAGTTTAACATAACTTAATGAAGAACATGCTGTCAGTTGTTACTTTCTTTGTTCTTATCTGATGAAGCCTGAGGCTACAGGGGAAAGAGACGATCTGAATGTCTGTTCTACTGACCATGCCATTTGGAGGCAGTTACTTTGAATCTTTAAGCAAAGCATAGAGAAACTTCTTGGGCATACAGGAATTTGTGTGCAAACCTCTGCTCCCATGTAGGCCTAAGTCGGTGAGGGGGGGGCAGTTTGCTGGAGACTTTTATAAGGAATTCTCAGGCTGGACTTCTCAAAAGCCTTTCATGAGCCCAGATTTCACCTGTGCCATTAGATACCTGTATGCATTGGGTAAATTCCTCTTCTCTTGAGGTCCCTTAGCACATTTCCATTCCCAGACCTGCCAGCAAGGGATCTTCATCACTTACCACAGATCAGGAAAGGTTACTATCTGGCCAGTTTTCCAAAGGGTATCTGGCCAGTTTTCCAAAGGGCTTTTTCATTGGCCTTATGAAGTCCACCTTAATTCCTTAATGCAGTCTGGAAATGCTATTCCAGCCAGAGCCTTGGTCATGTTAGGCCCGCAACTAACCTGGCCACATGGGATTCTGCCTCAGTTTCTTAGAAGTATGCCTGCACAAAATCTTTTCACTGCTCTCTCTCAAATGGCTTTTTTGGCCAGAGGCATATAGGCGTTTTGCCTATAGAGTCTCAAACTGTTGCCCTGAGTAGAGGGCCATGGAATCATAATTGACAGCAACCTCCAACTCTTGGGATCAAGCGATCCTCTTACTTCAGTTTTTCCATTTTTTGTAGCGACAGGGTCTCGCTTTTGCTCCAGCTGGTCTTGAACTCATGAGCTCAAGCGATCCCTCTGCCTCGGCCTCCCAGAGTGCTAAGATTACAGGCATGAGCCACCACGCCTGGCCAATGTTTTTTCTTTATTGTTTTAACTATATACTCCTTGATTGCCAATTCACAGGAAACAATAATTTTGTAGTTTTTTTTTAATAAAAATAAAACAAGGATAATTTAATCTTTCCTTTGACATAGTTGTTCAAATTTTTTTAATGGTAAGTTTAGAAAAGTTCCTTTTACGTTTCACAACTCATGGTTGATAATATTGCATACCTTTAGTAACTGTAACAGAGAAAGGAGAGTTCCAATCATAATATTTCTTCTGCACATTTTACAAAAACATATAACAGACATTCCTGTAGCTCTCTCAGGTTCTTGGAAGGGGCCTGTGTAAGTGCTGGCTCCTGCAGCTGAAGATGTGTTAGCTTCAGGATACACCCATGTCCACGTACTCTTAGGCTTTACCAATCTGACATAATCATAAAAATTTCACTTTAGCCAGGCGTGGTGGCTCACACCTGTAATCCCAGCACTGTGGGAGGCTGAGGAGGGAGAATCGCTGGAGCTCAGGAGTTTGAGACTCCCTGAGTGAGAGTGAGACCCTGACTCATGAAAAAAATGGAAAAACCCAGCCAGGCACTGTGGTGAGCACCTGTAATCCCGGTGGCTTCAGGAGGCTGAGGGCAGTGGGATGTCCACAAGCTGAAGTCTGAGGTTACGGTGAGCTACCAAGCCACTGCACTCTGCTCAGGGGCACAGGGTGGGACTTTGTCTCACCAAAAAAAAAAAAAAAATTTCACTTCAGAAGTGAACAACCAGCTTGGTGCCTGTGGCTCAAGTGGCTAAGGTGCCAGCCACATACACCTAAGGTGGCGAGTTCAAATCCAGCCCGGACCCGGCAAAACAACAATGATGGCTGCAACCAAAAAATAGCCAGGCGTTGTGGTGGGCACCTGTGGTCCTAGCTACTTGGGAAGCTGAGGCAGGAGACTCACTTGAGCCCAGGAGTTGGAGATTGCTATGAGCTGTGATGCCACAGCACTCTACCCAAGGCAACAGCTTGAGGCTCTGTCCTTCCGACCCACCAAAAAAGAAGTGAACAACCCCAGGAAGCAGAAGCCATTGCAGTCTACCATGTCACAATGACAACAGAGGCCCCAGGTTTTCCATGACATTCTTGGTGAAATTCCTGGTGTGGGTGTGTAGTTACTGGTAGGGACTGCAAAGTCAGCACGTCCTCTCTCCTTGTGCAGCGCCCACAGTCTGACGCAGGCATGCATCCCAGCTACAGAGCCTCTGGGCCCTGTCTCCAGCCCTCCTGGAGATTTTATGAAGTACCAAATATCCTTGTTAAATTAACCTTGTTCTTCTGCCCGAATAGCTTGCCTAGCTTTGCTCTCTTTTCCAAAGGCCAGTTCAAATGTGACATTTCTTTCTAAGAGGCAATATTTCCTTCCCTAAAGCATGTTAACTATTTCTCCTTTTTGCTTTCCAGGTTGCCACAACAAATCCCTATATAAACATGTGGGATATGAATATGTTCTCCAGGGTTTAGGTTGGGGCTGAGGCATGATCAACCAGCCTGAGATGATGGAGCAATCCAAGGATGGGAAAGGGAATCCAAGCATAGCACACAGGTATCCAAAACCAGAAAACAAGCGTCCAAATACCAGAAAAGTCAGGGTGAAGGTCAATATACAAGCCCAGCTGACGGCAGAAGCCAGGGAGCCAAGACTTTGGATTAGTGAAAGGAGATGAAGGAAGAAGAGACTGAGAAAAAGCAAAGGGTAGTTCAAGATTCCACGTGACCATCCAGCCACTGGGTGGTGTGTATGAGGATTGGGTGGCCTTGAAAAGGAATAAAAGAAAGCTGGACATACTACAGCTCAGGCTATCATTAGCTCTTACTTGGGACACAGAGGCTTCTAACCTTCTTCCACCTTGTGTTCAGCCCTGCAGCATGTTCTTTATACACCCACACACCCACACACACACACACACACAAACATTTGGAGTCATCATTGCCCTACACACAAAAAAAGAAAAAATCAGCTGTGGCTCCCCATTGCCTAGAGAACGTCAGAGGACTCATTAGCCTGGCGTTTTTGACCCTCCTCATCTAGGTCAATCCATCTCTACAAGGTATTCCTCATTGGTTTTCTTGCACACTCGACTAGAGATGCAGTCATTTTGT